TCGAGTGAAACGCTTCGGCCCGCAGCTCCGTCTGCCTCTACATTTCTATCATCTAGTCTGTTTTCTGTCTCTCAATCCTCCATCTTTCTCTGTTCATTTAAACTCTTACTCAGTTTCTTCTTTGCTCTCCCTCACCTCTCTCCACTCACACACTAAATTACTGTACATCTCTCCTCCTACACTCTCTTCTCCTGTCTCCCTTTACAGATGATCTGCGCTACTTTTCTTCTCTTTTTCTTTGGCTCCTACACACTCGTCTCCCTCCAACTCTTCCTATACATGTAATCTCTGCTCTCCTCTCTTCAACTCCTCCTACACGCTTTTTTATTTTCCTGTTGTTTTATCTGTCTTTTCCTATCTGCCTGTATTTTCCCTCTTCACCTCTGGCAGCAGCAAAGTATTTTGAAGCACACCAGCATGTACATAAGTAAAAAATATGAATGGAAAATTCATTATTTGTTAGAATTTGGTCAGTATTAAGTCTGCAGTCATTGATTATTATCCTTCGAGAATTCAGTTGGTTAGACGGTTTCTAAGAGCCTCCGGTAACATCTTTAAAGAGAAACTAAACATCCAACTTATTCAAAATCTCCTGTTGGTTCTGCTCTGAGTCTCTTTTAAATCTCCAAACAAGAGTTCTGTTTGTAACTTTTGTGCCAGAGACAGTACCTGGAAGAATGACATAAAACTCCACCACTGCACCACCGAGAGTTAATTTAAGTTTTTCTATGTCTTGAAAAGGAGGCTGTGGCCCAGATTGGAGTGAACAGTATTGGCTTGTATCTTTGGGGCGCGTAAAGAAAAAAGTAATGTCGCAGATTTTTCACAGATTTCTTTGGTGGTTTAGACAAAATCCAATAATGCTATCTTCTAGACCATCAGAGATTATCTTCCGGATATGTTTAGGAAGTTTTATAAACATTGTTCCTGATTGAATGTAAGCTTTGTGACAGAAAGCTTACGTTTCAAACAGTTTGAAAGACGAGGCCGGTTTACCAGCCAGCACAGGTCTATTGAAAAGATGGTACTGGATTCTTGTATTCTTTTTTATAAAGTTTTGTGATTTAGATCAGTAGTCTGGCCAACTTTCCATACTACTAGTTTTCGAAGCTCCGGCCTAGAGGTCTTCACGGGTCCTCTCGTTCCCTAGTAACGACCTGACCCAGGACCTGGGCTGGGCCAGGGTCCAAAATTATATTCGGTTTAAACAGGTCGTGTTGGGTCTTGTTGTATTGCCGCAGGTTTTTGGAGAGAGGCATAGAGAGTTTGAACTGTGAAGTGCAGGAAAAATGACTTTTTGACCAGAACTGTTTGTTAATTGGTGGAGCATCCTGCTGCGGCCAGTGCTCTCTCTATATTTGGGTCTGTCCACTGTACATTTCTAAATACTTCATCAAGTTTGACTGTCTTAGTGTCGCTTTTGGATCAGGTTCAGGTAGGTTTTCCATGCCTGTTTAAAACACGTCAAACATTTTTAGATTTACTGACGTTATACTGATGTTTGAAATAACAATTTGGCTGATAGTTGATGCTGATACTGTTGGCAATAGTTGCCCTAAATTTGTACTGAGTCTCAGCTGCTGACTGCACTGTTCACTACCATTTCAATTGTTTCGAGTACTTTTGAACAAACAGATGCTGTACACTGTAGTGGTTGGGATTAATGTCCCATGTCTCCTTGTATGTTCCTTTGTTTTCTGTTTCAGCCCTCTACTGTAAATCAAATTTCCCCTTGAGGGACAATAAAACTTGAACTTGAACTTATTTGCCGTCAACACTCATCAAAAATCTAAAATCTGAAGTTTGGAGGTCTTCTGGATTCTATAAGAAGAAAGGAAAGTTGTATTGTAATTTGTAAGATCTGTCTGACAGCAATTAAGTCCAGCAAACCTTAACACTCACCTGGTGAGACGGATGGTCACATGTCTGTCGATGCTAATACAGCTAGCACAAGCAATAACACACAAGATATTAAACACTGTCCAGCCATGACTTTGATGATGTTGTTAAGAACTGTGTCAGATTGCATCGAATTGTTCTATATTGAAATGCTTCGTTCCTGAATCATATCGTAGCCCATGTATCTAGATACGGATTGTCGTAGAAGGAAGAGATCCCTAGTTCTCAAGAAATATTGTATATACTAAATGACAATCATTTTATTTTCTGTCAATCGATTAATCACTATATCGCTTTTAGCTACTCTGTCACATTTTTTACATGCTTACTTGCTTGAGAAATCTCATTAGTTGAAGTATGCAGTAAACAGCAATGTAAATGCATGAGAATGATAATAACATAGGATTAGTTCAGTCTCATTGCACAATGCAACAATTCAAACAGGACTCTGGATACTCTGAAATTATAAAACATGTCTCCTGTGCAGGCGGTGAGAAGCTGATCAGAATGTGAGAGCATGAAATATGTCCAACATTAAGTGACACTTGGGACAAATAACAGCTTGCCCAATACTAATTAAGTGTTGAAATACTCTCAATTTTTCTGGCAAATGTGTTTTTCTCCCAAATGATTGGGACACCTTTTCAAAGCTTCAACTCTGCTGATAGAAAAACCTTATTTTATCATATTATTGTTGATATTGCAGCTTTCCGTTAAGATTTTTTTTATGTCAAATGGAAGTGCTTTTGTCCTCCTCTCCTTCGTCCTCTTCATCTGCTTTCAATTCTGCCTCTTGTCCTCCTTTTTCTTTGCTTTCTGTTTATCTTTTCTCTCCCTCCATCTCCGTTATTCTGCTTCTTTAAACGCTCTGTTGTCCCTTTCTTCTCCTCCCTCTTTATGTTTATCTGCTTTCCTTTCTCCCTCATCTTCCTCTTTCTTTCTCTCACTGTCTTTTCTCTCTTTCTGTCTGCCAGGCCATGGCCTAGTTAAAACGTCTTCTGCTTTGTGCCTGTTCTCTTTCATCAGCTTGGAAGTTTTTAGACTCTCCCCTCTTTCTCTTTATCTCTGTGCTTCTTCACCGCTGTCTCCCATTCTCTTTTTATATCATTCTTCCTCCCTCTCACTTTCCCATTTACCTGCTTTTGTCCTCCTTTTATTTTTACCCTTTTCTCCCTCTCTTCCCATATTTATTCATACCTGTCTTTCTATCTCTCTCTCCTTTCTCTCTCCATCTGTTTTTACCTCGTTCTCTCAGTTCCATTGTGTGGATGATAGCTGTCAGGAGATCTCATCACTGAGTCTCTCTTATTACATGATTACAGGGTAATTATCCTGTGAAGTTGTCTTTGCCCGAATCTATGAAAGACGCTTAATGTCTTTTTAATGGGGTTTGGAGTTTGGAGACTTTTTTTTTGCCTTTTGTAGTTACTGTGGACTCTTCAATTTATTGCATTTACATGTGATTGGCCTGGAACAGCGTGCCCTGATTAAGTGGCACTCGGATTCATCGTAATTTTCAGGCGCAGCGTCTCGCTCCAAGTTGTCAGTCAGACTCGCTTTATTTTTAACTTCTGGCCTTGGCTTTGTCAGCAAACGCTGTCATCTGCCAGCGTCTGATTAAGCTGGACCTGATGAAGCTCCTGTGATGTTTAGGACGAGCAACAACACAGAAACCTGGCTTGAGCTTTAGAGGACGGGGAGGGCGGGCGAGCGAAATGTCATGTTGCTTATCAAACCGAAACCTCCCATCTTTGATGTGGAGTTGCGTAACAACCAGAACAGTTCCGGAGGGGATATTTATGCTATTATAGACAATCACTGTATCTATATCTGCCTTATATGTGCCCTCTGAGTTTATCTACCACACATTGCCAAGATTTTCTTATCTGTGACCTTCTAAAATGAATAAAAAATCATGTTTTTTAAAGATTTTTCTATATTTTTGGCTTTCAGATTCAGGTTCAAGTTCAGGTTACTTTATTTGTACCCGAAGGTAGATTTGGTTTGCAGTAAAAAACATGGCATTCCCCTTGACAAAACATTTTAACAGACAATAAACAAATAGACAGTAGACAATTATGGAAAATTATTTTAAAAATAAAAGCATTCCAGGCTCACAAAGAATTACAAAAAGAGAACAATACACTTAAATAAATAACCTAATAATAATAAAGTTTATTAGGACTGTAGCTACGAATTATTTTCATTATTCATTAATCTGTCACACCGTTAATCGTTCAGTCTATAAAATGACATCAGTAAAGAAAATGCCTGTCACAATTTGCCAGGTCCTAAAGTGACATCTTCAATTTGTCTGATGAGTAGCCCCAAAACCCAAAGATTTTCAATTTACAGCGAAACATTCGTTTAAAACTGATGATTTCCTTTTTGCAGCAAATATTTATTTGTGTTTGTGTGAAAACCCAAATCACCTTTTTGTCACAAATACTGATATTGATCTGTATGACTGAGTCTACTATGAGTCAGATTTTAATCAATATCTGAAGCAAAATGTCAGTTTTATGATTTATGTTGCCAGGCCACTGTCACATGAATCTTAGTTCTGATGATGCAGATTAACTAGGTTTTGAGTGTTAAACTTTAGGAGCGTTGTTGCTTTTTATTAGTCAAAAATATTTAATGTTGTAGAGAAATAAAGATTTTAAACTGAGTTTTCAGGAGCTTTAGGTTTATTATTTCGAATCCAACTTACTGTCTTTGAAGGAACAATCAAAGCGCATAACAGTACAACACGATGCATATATTTATTGTTCAAGTAACCCCAGTCAGAATAAATCTGTTGATGTGTTTTATCCTCAAATAGATAGACTGTTTCAACCAAAATCATAGTTTGCCTGTTTATAAAAGTGCAATTTATATGCCATTGCCCATCATGCAGTTTTCCCATTCTTTGTCTTATTCTGGGTGAATGCAGCACATCACATCACACACAAACAATATCAACATGACTCCTCTCTATGTTTTTCTAACATGTATTTTTCTCTGCTTTTAGCCTTCCCCAAGTGGCTGCAGCACAGCTCACTGAACACAAACAATATTAACATGTAATTTCCTCCCTCTTTTTGTTTGTTTCTATGCAGCTTGAGCGCCACTGCTGTCTGTGATGCCCTCCCATGACGCCCAGGTCGGTAGCTGACACTGCCAGTGAGCGGGAGACGCCACTGCACAACCGGTCCTGGGCCGGCACCGTCAGCCGGTTCTCGCCCTCCCTCTCGCACGCTGGAGACTCCACCTCCACCCACCTACCAGTATCCACAACCATCAGCTCAGACCCACCCCAGTAAAGTCCCCTCAAAAACCGACACGCTGACGTCCTCGGCAAGCACCAGCAGCAGCAGCCAAAAACCCCAGTATCTTCAACGCAAACAGCAACACCAGCACCACCATTATCACCACCACCAGCAGCAGCCAACATGTCCAGTCGTAGAAAGTCCTCCACCCCCTGCATGGTCCGGGTCATCAATGACCTGCCTGAAGAGCAAGATGACCCTGAGGAAGTAATGGACATGGAAATATTGGCGGCCAAAGATGTGACAGAAAAAGAACAATCACAATCATCTGAATCTGCAGAAAAGAGTCAAGACCCCCAGCAAGAGAATCCAGAGAATCGAGACCAGCAGATGTTTCCAAAACCAGTGGAAAACCAGAATCCTGAGCCATCAGAACAAGATGATGAGTCAGGTAAAAAAGACCAGCCCCCTGTCATTGAAGACGTAGAAGCCACAGGGGAGAAGGACAGGGAAGGGGTTGAGTCTGACCCAGCATCCCAGAAAAAGCAGCTCAGAGGGTACGAGTGCAAGTATTGCCCGTTTTCAACGCAGAACCTGAATGACTTTAAAGAGCATGTGGACTCCAGCCACCCTAACGTCATTCTCAACCCGTTGTACCTCTGTGCTGTCTGCAACTTCAACACCAAGAAGTTTGACTCGCTCACAGGGCACAATGAGAGCCAGCACCCGGGCGAGACAAACTTCAAGTTCAAGAGGATAAAAATGAACAATCAGACTATCTTAGAGCAGACAATCGAAGGCAAGGACAATTCAGTTCAATGCGAAGTGACAAATGAACAAGGTGAAAACAACAGCAGTTCGGTGTTTCCCCCTTGCATATCTACCACAGTGAAAACCCCAGAAAACATTCAGTCGCTGTTTCAAGGGAGCGAATTGAAAAGCCAGCTGGACAGCCTGATCCAGAAGGATCAAATAACAGCAGTGAACATCAACGGAACAGTCATCATCCCTGAACCCACCATCCTCCAAGGGCTCTCCCATGTCACCCCGATGCTCCAGCGCCCGCCCAACTTTAACTCTGTACCAAAAATAGCTGTTCCCTTGAACACCACCAAATATAACCCTTCTTTAGATGACAACTTGACGTTGATCACCTCCTTTAACAAGTTTCCTTACCCTACACATGCAGAGCTGTCGTGGCTGACAGCTGCCTCCAAGCACCCGGAGGAACAGATCAAAGTCTGGTTCACCACCCAGCGACTGAAGCAAGGCATCACCTGGTCCCCAGAGGAGGTGGAAGAAGCCAGGAAGAAGATGTTCAATGGCTCCATCCCTCCTGCCCATCACACGTTCACCGTCCTGCCTACAAGCCCAATCTGTCAGCCATCTGCCAAATCCTCCCAGCATCCCCTTGTCCACACTACAGTTGGGCATCCAAGTCATGTACGGACAGCCACATCCAATGGGTTCAGTGTAGTCACCACCCCAAACTCTCCCGCTGGAGTTGCCATGGGCTCCAGTCTTTCCCTTAAACGAACACACCTGACAACAGTGTTTGGCCCAGAATCTAAGCGGCCCATTATGGCAGTTGCCCCCCATTCTGGTGACCCTAAAGACAAAGTCCTCATGGCTCCTCCTCCACCCCCTCCCCCCCAAAAAGACCGTCTCCCAATGGCTCCGCCTCCAGTTCCCATGGAGATGAAGAGACCTGTAGCAGTTCCTCTGGGCACAACAGAAATGAAGAGGTCATCCGCTACTGTGCCTTTAATGCCACCGCCATCATCGTCATTATCACCATCTTCAATGTCCAAAGGGAAGCTTCTCTCGACATTAGGAAACCCCAAAACAAAGCCGGTGGTGTCGCTTCCCTCCATAGTCTTTCCAGAGTCTTTAACAAGACCAATGATAGCTCCCCCGCCTATCTTTGCCCCGTCATTTAAAAACTCATTACTTTTCCCTCTTACTTCGCCCATCACTTCCAAAGAAAAACACCAGAATACCCACGCTATGCCAGCTGCTGATTTGAAGCTTCCAAACTCCCCTCCTCTAATTACCACACAGATAAGGAGGCCTACCATTATCCAGTCCATTCGTGCTCCGGCCAAAGCCCCGTCCCAGATTCCAGGGTTCCCCTTAGATAGCAAGAAACTAAAGGAGCAGCAAGGAGTTGAGCTGAAAGCCAGCTACCCCAGAGGAGACAAGGTACTCACTCCTCTGGCAGAGGCCAACGGGACATCTCGCTCAGACGGCAAATGGCCCCACGATCAAAACTCCCTTGCTCACAACAATGGAATCCATTTGGATGGTGGTGAGCCACCAGCAGCGTTGAAACCAGACTTTCAGCAAAAGTCCTCAGTGCTGACCCAATTCCCCTTGCTGGAGAGGATGAAAGGAAAGACAGCGGAACAGCTAAAGATCTTGGAGGAGAACTTCTTGAGGAACAGCTTTCCCACACACGGCGATGTGGACAATCTGGCGGGCACCACCCACCTGTCTCACCAGGAAATCGACAGCTGGTTTGTGGAGCGCCGTGCACTACGCGACAACCTAGAACAAGCCCTTCTCAACTCCATGGGCACTAAGAGGATGGGCGCCGGTGGGATCGCCGGCATCACCAAGAAACGACTACATCAGCAGCAACAGCAACACCAAACTCTACAGCTGAATGGGATTCACAAGCCAAGCACCGGCGTGGGCCACCTTAAAAGTCCTCTTCCACCCTCGCACACCCTGCCCATCATTGCTCCAGGCACCATTGCCCCCTCCATCCCCAACCCGAATTCCTGCTCAGTGCCTCCAGACAGCCGATCCCTGGCGCTCCTCAAGGACGATTTTGCTCAAACGCGGTGGCCTTCCCCTGAGGAGTTCAGCCAACTGGAGGGTCGGACAGGACTGGCTCGCGCCGAACTCGCCCGCTGGTTCAACGAAAGCCAGCTGCAGAGCGGCAGCATGGAGCTGACAGAACTTTTTCACAACAATGGAGTGAATGGAGGGCAGGGGCCGCCTGTGAGCTCACCTGAAAACGCACCCCCGAGCTTTATCCGGCGCTGTCAGGAAGGAGCCCTAACAAACAACAACAACGGCAGTAAAGTGTTGGAGGTTGAGTTGGGCTGGCTAATGGAGCAACGCGCTAACAACCTCAGCAGTCAACACCACGATGAGCTTCAAGACCGGTTTGGCAGCAGGTACTTTATTCTTAGGATATTTATTATTTTATGTATTTTGTTTTAATTTTCGAAGGGCCTTTCATTGGCATTGGTTAAAAAAACTTTTAAATTTGATACAGAAATAATCCTCTTCCATTGTTAATCACAAAATACCACAATATATACAATATGTCGCTTTTAACCGTTGTCAAAATGTGGTTGTCTTTTCAACATAGATTAGCCTAGCACATAGCATATGTAAGTACTGAAAAGGAGAAAGTTGACAGAGGCTCGCTCAACTGTTATTGGAGCACATAGCAAAAAGGGGCGGGGCTTAGGGTCAGTTTGGTGTGGTCACGACTTACTGGTAAACAATATAATAATGGTCTTTGTTCATACAAGAAACCGTGTGAGGTTGCTTGGTAAAGTTTTAACACTCTGTACTAAATAATTAAAAGGCAGCTGAGCTGAACAATTTAGCTGAGGAACAAAGCAAATCCAACCTCTGCATAGTGTCATGATTATTTTCATGATATTAAAGTGCAGATGCTCCTCTACAGTTCACATGTTTCTCTTTATAACCCTCTCCTCTTTTATGTTTAATATATGTGAGATGAATTATGATACAGTGGGTTTGACCATCGATTGAGCACATCTGTGCCTCTCATGAAAAGAGTCAAGTCAATTTTATTCCTATAGACTAAAAAAACAAAATTGCCTCAAATGGCTTTACAGTCTGTACGACCCTCTCTTTCCTCTCTGCAATATTTTGTGCATTCAGTGCTCACTGAACTGCAGCACTGGCAGTTTCAATATCGTTTTCTACCCACTGACACCTTCTGTGGTGACCTGTGCGTCCAAAATAATTTTCTGCTTCCCCTCGAGGGGTTTTATGCTGTTGTTTTCTAGCTGCCACATTAACATTGTTTTCAGAACATTAACCTACAAATCTACGGGACTTTATTTAGTCTGCCTTCCTTTCCAGGAGCTTGGGACTTCTTTGGCCAAATAACAGAGCCATTAGGTTGGAAACCAATATCTCCACAATAATTTGGGCAAGAGTTTTATTCTTCCCGCGAGTCAGCTCTGGGTTTCCGACTCAGTCTTTGAAAAGCACCACAGTATGAACCTGCACTCACGGCACATTGAAATCCTTCATGGCTCTTGTTGGTTTTATAAACTCTGTAAACAACAGAGTACACAACGTAGAGACAACAGGAGAATTAATGAGACAGCGATGCAAAGATATTGTACAGTAAAGTATCTTAAAGCTGCTTAAGAAAAGTGTCTGCACGGTTCAGACTGGGAGGGTTCACCTCTTATAAGACCTGACAGTTTAAAATTATCTTTTTAATTTCACAAAGTAAAATTTGATTTGACATAACAGTGTCTTAAACAGTTGAGCCTCGTCATCTGTGGGCTCTTCTCGATTGTTACAGTTGATTTACAATCTTCACATGAAGTAAATTAAATTATTTGGATTATTAGTTTCTCCTCATTATAAACGTCCCACTTATGACCCACTTGTGTTAGATCTGATTGTGAGCAATCGCCACGCTCAGAAATCTAAATATGATTGACATTTTGAAAAACAAATGTTTCATCAGCATGTTGGTCGACTGTATCCACAGATACAATATGTTATTTAATTTGTCACTGTGTGTTCTTTAGACAAAACTGAAATACATTGAGAAATGAAATTGAATAAAGAATTCTAAAATAAAGGGAAATTAGATAATTACAAGGAGTTTTTAACAGTTTTAATACAAATGTAATACTGATGCCTCTATATGACCTACATAGACAAACAAGACCATCAGCTAGCAGATTGGCTGTATCTATATAGTTATTTTTACTGTTATTCAGTCTGATTCCCCTTGAAATCATTGAAATGAGGCAGTAAAAACACTACCGCTTCTGTCCACAGGAGCCACCAGAATCAACACAAAATGAAAGTTCTTTGTAGGGGCTTTAATTTATCCTTTATTGTGCAGATGCTTGCTTTGTGTGTCTCTTTTTCCACAGTTAAGAAGCTACAGCTTGCAAACACACAGTTGGTACCAATAACATTTTATGACCATTTATACTTCTACACATAATCACCTCGTAAAATGAATACACTGTTAAATATTAAGCTGTCCGAAGGCATATAAAGCATTTAAAGGTTAATGTCACTCATGCGTCAGTAATGATAATCAATCAATGTAATGTATGCAATATGGAATACTGATGCCTCAATGTGACCTACATTAACAAGACCATCAGCCAGAAGATTGGCTGTTTCTATATTGTTATTTTTAATGTCAGATTCCCCTTAAAATCAATGAAAGGAGGCAGTGGAAACAGTACCGCTTTAGTCCACAAGGGCCGCCAGAATCAACACAAAATGTTCCCTGTAGTGGCTTCAAATAAATCCTCAAAATACGGAATACTGTAAGAACTTCTAATAAATACCAAAAATAACAATATATTAAATATTATGAATATATGTTCTAGGAGCATCATTGATACAACATTAACTGTAGAGCATTTACAGTCATATTTACATTCACTGTTGTTTACTAAAGTCTAACAAACATGTTGAATTCATTATCTAAAATATTTTCAAAGATTATTCTTTATATATGAAACCTTGTGCTAATAGAGCAGGAGACAAATGCATATATTCATACTATACATTATATATATATATATATATATTATATAGTGCCAAAAAAAACCAACAACCAACATTTATTTATTTATTTGGTTTTTTATTTGATGAAGGACAGAGCATGTTAATGAACCTCCTTTCAAATATTTTCATAGTGAAGCATATGTAGATCAGTAATACAGCCTGAATGGGTATCACGTCTCGTTTTAGATGTTTAACAGTCAAGAACAAACAATACAACAGGGCAAAGAAGCAAACCAACAAATAAAAAAGAAAAACAAAACCAAAACAAACAAGTGGGATTGGAGCACACAGTTCAGGTAGCTTAACTAATGTAATATACCACACCCCCCCCTAAAAAGACACTGCATAAAAGTAAAGATGTAAACATGCCAGAGTTAGAAATGATGGTAATTAACATCCGTAGTCTGTAAACAGGTAACAGAAACAGAAACATTACATAAGTAGAAAAGGACAGAATATATATTAAATATTATGTAACATTTCTCCAGAGCTCCGCTAAAGGTGAAGAATCTTTAAAATGATGGTTGATTATTGGTTGGTATGTATCGGTGCACCTGATCTGAACTCCATAATTACACTGTAACTGTTCCTGACAGACTGAGGCAGCAGAACGCGGCCGAGCTGAAGAACGGGGGACAGAACGGGGGAGTCGTTGGAGGAGCGCGGGAGGTGTTCGGGAGCTGGCTGCAGGACGGACACTCGAGGAGAGGACGGGAGCTGCTCCTGGACAGAGACAGGAAGATGGCGGAGGACACGTCTGGGAGGCTGACTGGATAAACGGTGAGAGGTGATTGGTTGATGAGTCTCTGAGGTCTGCGGGTGTCGACCAGTAGGATGCAGATAAAACGCTGAGCACAGACAGGCTACACTCATGTCAGAAATTAAATATTTTGTACATGTTAAAAGGGCAATGTATTTTAATTAGACCTGCAACTGAGTTACATTCACTACCAATACAAGTGTTAATTATTTCTTAGTTAAATGATTAATCACTTATTCCATAAAATGTCAGAAATGATAAATGGCCTCTTTTCAGCCAATTAAGTGAAGCATGAATAAGGTTTTTTCAGTGGGGCATGTTTGTGATCTGAGGAGTTATTTTCTTTACATTCAGTCTTACTGAACACATTGTGTTTGTCCTTGAGGTCTAACAAACATACTGAAAATGAAATGTGTGCAAAGCTGATTTTTCTAAATGTGAAAGAGCGTTGCTGAGTGCAGAAACCAACAAAGTTTTCTAGCTTCCTGGTTTGTTTCCAGATATGCTCTGCCTGTCGGATTGAGCTTTCTACCATGACACTGTAAATGGACACTGTGCTGAATTCTCCGTGGGTATCGGTCTGGTGAGCAGTAGGCTACTTTAGCGAGTAACACGAAGGCTATATGTCCACCAGGCAGAGACCTGGGGGGACATCGGGGGGAAAACCAGGAATATTTTCTCCATAAAATATGATCCACTTTCACCATAATCAGTGAATAAAGACATAAAGTTGTGTTTTTATACAGTAATCAGTGAGGCCAGAACGTCTCTGGTGGCGTTATAAGACAGAAAGTTTCATAGGATGCAAAATTAGTAAACGTCCCTGAATGCAGGATGAGCCACGAGGAAATGGCAAACTCTAAAATACCATTAATTATACTCCAAAATACCTACAGAATGACTTTATTGTTGTTGGGCCAGATACTGTTATACTCTTTTAACGTCGACTTCATGGGGACTTTAATCAAAACACTTTTCTAGAAAAAGATTCGACATTGATGCCGGTGCATTTTTAAGCTCCCGCTGTGTTTATGCTCTTTTTATAAAGGATCAAATCTGTATAGCTCAATCTGTGGCTGCAGGTTTGTAGAAGTGATTTAACTCAGCGAGTCCCTGATGGTCCCCGGCGTCTCCCCTCCACTCCCCAGTCTGTTAGTGTTGAAGCCAACACCTCGATCCCAGGCAACAAACAAAACTCCTCCAGCCAGTCACCGTCTGTGTGTGTAGCTGTGTGAGTTTTGGCTACAACTGCTCAGCAACAAACACTAACTTCAGGAAAATTTAGGAAAAAAAAAATTATTGGAGGCCTAAAATAGCAGCAGCCCCCCTAGTGTGGTAAAGTTTGATAGATGAAAGGCTCCGCCTGGGGCAAAGAGTGACGACAGAGTCTGCTGCTTCTTCCCTCTGCTGTCTGTTCTGACAGAAGATTGAAAGTTTTAATGTTTCTATCAGGCTTTTGCTTATGAAAATAGAATCTATTCAAATGATTTCCTCAAGACAAGCAGCCGTAAACACGACGGAGAATCAACTTCTGACACCGTCGCGTTTGAACGATTGTCACTACTTTGGGATGTCTTCAAAATCAACACATGACAGCTAAAATCAATAATCAATATGCAGCATTCTGAAAAACCAACAGCAACTGTAGATTGTGTAAACAGAAATCTTCCTGTCAGTGATGTCTGATAATGTTTTTTTGTTGCTGTTTCCTGCTAGAATCTGACACTTTGAGTTCAATTCAAAAATACTTTATTTGTCTGTTGAGGCAAAACATAAAGACATAAAATCAATTCATTCACATGAAAACACAGTAAAAATAGAAAATGTGTTTTAAATAAAAGTAGTAATGTCTACACACAGTAATAACTGAAGTTATTACTCTTGAAGCAAAGGTTTATATTGATGAATTAATATGTGAATATGAGATGAAACAGTTCAGCTTCAGACAGAACAAAGAACACACCGAATCCAACGTACACAAACAAAAAATACATAAATAAGATATCTCTAATCACTCACACTCACTGTGACATTGTTACTTGGTTTTTGTAAGGCAGTAGTTCCCAACCTGGAGGTCAGGACCCCCACTAGGGGTCGCCAAAGCTTCATGAGGGGTCGCGAGGCCTTCTTGATTTTAAGGGTTTTTAAGAAAACTTAAAAAATATATATCTCAGCATTCACCTAATAGAACAATGCACAACTGTCAGGGAGAAGAAAACACAGAATTAAAAAAAAAAAAAAGAAGTCTATAAAAATTATAAGAGAAATACATAATACAGACAGAGAATTGTATAAAAAAGAAATAATCTGCTCAAAATTCATTCAAACCACTTGTTTTACACAAACTCCTTACAGTTACCGAGTTCATATGTTAATATGAAATATGTCGATTAGACAGGGGTCGTCCATAAATAATGGAAAAAGAGTCCCTCGAGGAAAAGGGTTGGGAACCACTGCTGTGAGGCATGCAGCCCTGGAACAGAAAAACAATAAAGTTTTGCAGTGTTACAGGAGCTTTCCAGCGATATTCTGTGTCACTTCCATAAAGTTAGATGCTGTAATGTAATTTAAATGAATACAAATATTCTGAAAGGAAAGAACAACAGAGTGTTTGTCTGCTGGTGTTGGAGGTTTTCTTCAGCCTGCTGCAGCTGCTCTCATAAACTCCTCCACTCTCCACCTCTCCGCTCCAACCCACACACTGAAAAACATCACCGGTATTTGCATAGAGTTCAATTCTTTACAGAAATAAGAGAATTTAACTTTTAATGTCAAACATATTAAAGCCTGAATCAAACTGTCCTGGCTGCTAGCGAGTCAGCAGCAGCAGTAAGGTGAGGCGTGTTGAAACATTCATGTTACAGTAGATTTAACAGGCCGAGGGAAGAGCGCGCTGATCTGATGCAGCTTGTGAGCAGGAGGATAAATTAACATGAGCTGCTATCTAAACTCTGGCAGTTTGTGACTGTGGCCGCAGACTCGTCTGCTCTGCCAGACGCTCAGTTCAGGTGCCAGTTATCATCGGTTTGGCTCCCAGATTACTGACTGTGGCAGGTGAATGCTGGAATCCACCAAACACTGTTGATGGAAAAACTGCTCCAGTTAGGAGTCGCTCTCCAAACTCTCTGAAAATTCAATATGTGGTGGGAACTAAAACTGGGAAATGTGGCTAAAAAAAGGAAGATTTTTCTAATCAGAATGAAGCTTTTAACGAGATATTAGATTTACACTGAGCAGTACAAATATGATTTCATCAGGTGTTATTAAATATGATGGCAGTTTTACATATATTTACATAGAGGGATCAGACAAATCCCATACACATTGAAGTTCTAGTGCCAGCATGGAAGTAACAAAACCTGTAGTTCCTCTAATGGCCACTAGAGGCTGGCTCCAGCAGTGAGTCAGTCTCCATAAGGCCCCATATTACAGCAGAAATAAATAAACATGTTTACAGCCCGGTACAAAGAGCGGTGATTTCCCCGTTCATGATTTTAATAGACAACCCACCTGTTTAAATTACATTAATGCTTTAAGTTATACATAATTAAGGGCGTGGCTGCTCTGAGTGACAGGTAGTGGTTGTTAGGAGCAGTTTAACTAAATAAATCTGTTAATTGAATACATTTTTGAATTATTATCGATTTATAACAATCTGCACTTGTCACTAAACATAGGCCATTTTTCCAATGGCACAAAAGGATGATTTTATTTCAGGCTTGTTTTTGCCTTTATTGGACAAAAGAGACAGTTGAGAGAAAAAGGGATGGTTTATAATCTTGCACAAGGACATCTACATGTATCACATGTTGCTTTCCTCAGTCAACACATCAAAGTAAATCCACAAACAAATAAAAAACACTAAATAGAATTTGTTTTATTGTTATATCACCTTCAATGTTTTCAACAAAATGATCACATATTTATTTTTAAGTGCGATTATGTCACTTTTGAAAGAAGAAACAACACAATTTTCCTTTTACAAAAGAGAAGTTGGTAATAAAACACAGCTTTGCTCAGTGTAATACACTTCTGCTGCTACCGTCTGATATGACCTGTAGCTCATGGTGGCTCCTCTACTTGTGCTACAGGTTTAGTGTGTCAGATAAACATCGCAGTGGTTTTATTAGCAAAGAAAACAGGAAGTAAACGCACCATACTTCACCAGGAGAGTCTTAATGCCTCTCGCTCTTTGATCCAGGCCTCTTACATTCATCAGGATGTTAAACTGACTCAAAAGAATCTCTAATTAACTCTGTGGCTGCTGTTTAGCAGTTGTTACACAGTATTTATCATATTAAATATATCTAATGGTGTTTGTACTCTTTAATAGTAACATGAAGAGGATATATATGTATACATATTTATATATTTATTGGTATCTTCCACACAAAAGTGCACAGAGGCAACACAAGAAGACACAAAAGTTTTAAAACCCCCAAAGTTTTTAAAATGTAGTTCTTAATTAAAATCTTTTATGTCTCTTTTTTGTTTTTTCTGATGCCTTCAGTCTGCCTGGCACTCATCTCTGCTGGCCCAGACACTCAAGTTGTGTTTGTTTTAAGCTCCTCCAGTGCCAGACGGGCGGGGTTTGTCACACTGAACGCCAGTAACCCGAAGACACAGAGGTGACAGTCGCTTCACCCCATTTCAGTTACGTGGTGAAGCCCCTCCCCTCTGGTACGCCGGGGAGGATAAATCAAACGTCAGATTATTCAGCGCCGTTATTTAGCGCAGACTCTGCGGCGGAGAGAGGAGAAGGAAAATGTGAAATGTCGAATGGGATTTTGTTTTGTTTAGATGTGATTAAATGAAAGACTGTATGCGTCTGTCTGTACCACACTAACCTCGTCTTTTAACCTCAGAGATTAGATTTGTGTAAAAAGGAAAGACATTTGTCACAAAACTCCTCTCACCTCTGCATTTTTCTGTTTGTATTTCACCAAACACAAAATTATTTTTTTGCTTGTGTACTTTAGATACGATGTTGGAGGCGCGCCTGCCTGTGCCACAAAAAAAA